GTGTACCTGTAGTTTACTCCTCTGTGCTCTGTTTAGGTCTGTAATTTAACTTCAGAAAAGAAACCAGTGGAATGCAGTGTGTCTGCTCTGTCCTGATGTCCGGAGACTTGTTGGGACGCCAGATACCTTTTTTTGTGAGACCTGTGGATGTTTCACATAGTGGCTCTGTGAACTCACTGCACATCTGAATTCGCTGAGCCTTTTCAAAATGGTGCGTACAGTTCTGTCGGTTGGTTTCTGCTGTATGATATTGAATAATTGAACAGGAGGAATTTCCAACGGAGCCGATAGCATGTTGGTCTCAGTAGCAGAGGGAACACCAGCACAGCATGGTTCATCCATTATACAGCAGTCAGAGTAACTGAGCATGTCTTCATGTCCTCATACACACCATCTCAGAGGCTGGTGCAGTAGGTCTGCACAAAATTATAAACCCCCTGGATCATGCGTGGATTTAACATTTTCCTCTGGGTGTTCTGAAATATGGTGCGACATGTATACTGAAAAATCTGAGAAATTGAAGCATCAAACAGAAATAATGATTTTTAAATTCTTTGTCTGTACAGAAGGATTTGAAGAATTTAGTTTGGGATTGTCTTTAAGCAGGGCTCTTATCTGGAGAAGTAAGAAGATGTGCTGTGGCTGATAAAGAGAACCGAGACTGTTTTCATAATCAACAAACTGGTTTGTACACATTATATTTAAATTAAAGTAGTTCAGAATCACTAACTAAGAGCCTGTATTGCAGCTCTGAATTAGTCAGGTCTATCTCCAAAATGTACAACACTGTAGGGTTTTAGCCACAATATTTATATTAGTTGGGTTCAGTTCCATAACTGATCATTCCATTGTGTATATATTTATTATTATACTAGTTTGGTTAATCCTCAGAATTATCAACACTGTACAGTCTCAGCCTTACTCGGGTATAATCTGTAATGTTTAGTCCCATTAAGTTACTTTACTTTTTAATCTTTTTAACTGAACTGCTGTAGCGTTTGTTGTCTTGATCTTGTTTGTGTCGCATGTTTGTGATCTTAGTTGTTTATAGAATTTGGTTCCATCATTCGTCTGATTTCATATTTGTTACAGGATAAAGCACTTTGTAACTTTGTTTTCGATTGGTGTTATACAAATATGATTAATATTAATAATATTGTGCTTCATGGGGTTTTTCATTTTTTTTAGTTTTTAGCTTTTTTGCGCATTTAAAATGTGTTGGAACTTACAGAAGTCCACCCCAAACGAAGGTATTCTCTCCCATAGAAAACATCGCTTCTGACCTGCCTGATGCGTCTCGTTTGAAGTTTTAATAGCTTTTCCTCCGGTAGAGTCACTTGGTTCTCTCTGCCTACACTCACAGATCTGAGGTAGCAATATCTGACCACTGTTGCCTTGTTTTCGTCGGGCCAGATGCAGGACAGCCAACATTTACTCTTTTTCTACTGGTTCATCTGTGGACTAGTTTACCGATTAGTCCAATATTCAAACAATACATTTTCCTCCAAAAAAGCAAAGTGACCATTTAATTTCATTTAGTTTTGTTTTACTTTGACAAACTGCGTGTCACTGTATAATGCACCACAGCACAACATGCAAACAAAGCTTAATATTAAAACTTAAATCTGTTGTGTGAAACTAGCAACTTCCACATGATGAAAATAAATCTGAATAAGTAAAAATACTATTATTTAGGTCAGAAGTGCAAGTCTAAAAGAAATCTGAGTTTCTATTAAACCCTTTAACAAAATAAAAAAGTTCAGTCTGTCTGTAAAACAAAGTGCATCATAGACACAATGGATGTTTTTGGAGCACAGAGCAGCTAAAGCAACTCCGTCTCTCCCTATTGAGTAATATTTCTCTGGCTTTGGTAGTGAGTTTCTTTTCCATTTCAGCTGTAGGTCTTTAAAAAGTGAGCAAACTAAGAGTGGGTGGAGCTTGAGTTTAAACAGCATCAACCAATTTGCGTTTATTTCTGTGTCTGTGCTCCGGTTTTCCCTTTGTCTTATATCGTATTGTTGCCCCGCAGAGCAGCCCAGAACAGGAACTGAGAGCCCTGTGGTTCTTAGCAACTGTTACCATGGCTTCAGTCCACCCTGCCTCGATCTTCCACTGGACACTGTGTTTGTGTCTGAGGGAAGGACTTGGCCTGGTGTCAGTGCATTTCTTCCTGTAATAGCAGACAGGCACTTCCTGCAAGCCGAAGGCAGAAGGGAGGAGATGAAAGAGATGAGATCTCTGCCTTTAATGAGACCTCGGCTCACAGTTTGGACAGATGGAGGAAGGTGTAGTTCAGTGTCGGTCGGACTGCTTTCATTTTCTAAAGAGTTGTTCCGATTGTCGAACGTGAGCAGTAAGAGATTTGCCGGCCCTTTAGCAAAACCTTTTTTTTTTTAATTTTTAGTCAAGCAGCTGGTATTAAATGCTTACTTTTGTGCCTAAAGTTGGTGAGAAGACTGACACCCCTCTCATGTCTGTAAGGTAAATATGTAACTCCAGCCTGTTGGCTTAGCCGAGCAAAAAGCATCTGCATAGCAGGGACCAGCTAGCCTGCCGCCGCCCAGAGCTAACCAAATCCAGCTATCAGCAGCTCTAAAGCTCACTTATCACTGAATACATAACCAACAGGAATATGTTTGAAAAATACTGAATGACTTGTATAACCACAGGGAAAATGCATCCTGTTGCATGAGAGGATAACAGTACAGGGTCAGCGAGACAGAAGCCTCCATGAATTTAACTCTGTGTACGGTGTAAAAGAGCATGTGTAAAGTCAACCAGAACTGTGGTGCAAATTGTGCAGATTCTGGTAATGTAGGAATAAATGCAGTTATTGCCAATAAACACAGGTTTATTGACTCTTTATACACATGAGGTAAACGGACGATGGCGCAACGGTGCAGAGAGCAACGTTTCTGGAGTGATATGTTTGCAGGTATCTAATATAAAGTATATGAAGTGGTTCAGAGTCGTGGATTCACTCACAGTTGTTCCTGTGATAAAATACCGATTGAATTGTTCATCACAGTGATTATGTGCAGCAAATATCGAATCTGGTAATCTGCTGTTGCTGCAATACGGACTTTATTGTTTGTTTCTTACAGTTTGGTTTACCATCTTGTTTTTTCCAGGCGTCTGGCCAGAGAAGCTGTGGCGAGCCACAGACTGTGAATGCTGATTCCAGAGGAGCATGAGTCATGACCTCGGTGGTTCTGGTCGACACTGGTGGGACAGTGGTGGAGTATGTAACAGCTGAGGAGGATCCACAGCAGGTGTGTTGGGAACAAGCTCAAGAAAAAGTAACACTGGAACTGCAGCTCACAATAAAATATCACATTTTTTGTTCAAATCTATCCGTCTCGAATTCTTTCTGGCTTTCTCCATCAGGACGGAGAGTGCGAGGTGGATCTGGAGCTGGAAGGAGAGGTGGAGGATGAGTGTGAAGCTGAGGAGGCCTGTGAAGACACACAGGAAAGGGAGGAGGCTGATGACTACCCAGCAGTTATAGTTGAAGAGCTGCCTGGCGCCAGCCTGGCCGAGGAGCAGGGTTACTCAGCCCAGGTGGTGGTGTATGAAAATGAGGCCTATCTCATGCAGGAAGTGGCCGATGAGCAGGAGGTGGAGACAGAAGGGGAAGCAGGTGAGGCACAAATATTCCTGATTTTGTAAGACGTCTTATTTTTATACCACCAAATGACTGGTGATGATCAGACAGTCTCTGCTGCAAGACAGAGCACAGAACTTACCGCTCAGAACAGTAAACTTTGGTTGTTTAAAAGGTAATTCTGGTTTATTTCAACCTGGTATATTTATGTGACTATCGTAGCTCAGTGGATCAAGCTTAATCTCTACTTCCATTGTAGAGGTTCAGGGAAGCAAGGAGTCGTACAAAAAGGTGTTTTAAAGTAAAACCTTTCCTGCAGCTTTCCAAAATATGTGATTTTTACATGAGTCATTCTAAACTGAAGAGATTCAGTAAAAATCAACTGGATGTCTCTTCTGTTCTTGAAAAAGTCTTCAAGAACCAAACCCGACTCCTCCAGTTGCTTTTTACTGAAGCTCTTAGGATTACCATGACTTAAATGACTGAGAATCCAAACAGACATTCATTGTAAACATTTGTACTTGGGTCTGACTGAAAGTAAACACATAAATCAGCCACTTCGAACAACAGTTTAGCTAACTGCATTAAGGATGTCCATCTGGGACGGCTTGCCCGCTGACCTAATCACCTTGCATAAGATCAGCTTGTGTATTCGTCCACATATGCTGTTTGCACATGTGAGGTTGACTTTCTGGAACCTCAGTAGGTAAATGCAAGGGTGGATTACCCTGTGGAGCATTGCAAAGTTAGCATGAGTCACAGTAACCACATCAGTGTGAAATAAATCAGGTTGAAATATACTGAAATTGTCCTTTGAGCATGATGAACAGTTTCTTTCTATCTTCTGGACTTGTGAGGCATTTATATTTATGTCTCTTCTATATAAGGGCTGACTAATATTTTGATGAGCACAGCTTGAAGAGCAATGCAAAGGTTCACATTCACACAGTTGCATATTTTCTGCTGCACTCAGAGTCACACTGGCAAATCTGCTAAAACTTGAAGTTAATTTTTGCCCTGACTGCCTCATACTACTGGGTTCTTGTGAGTTCTCATGAATCTGGATCTAAACACCAGTTTCAAGTGTTGCTTTTGTTCAGTGGTTTGGGTTTCACTGAGTCATATTTGTCACGTGATTCTACCAGCAGCACCAGAGGAAGTCTGGCAAGTCAGGCTGTTGGGTTCACAGACCTCTGTGTCCAGACACTGCCACCTTGTGGTTATTTTTGGACAGTTAACGCCTCATGAAGGTGTCCAGTATTACCTCATTAATCATCAGTTAATCCCCTAGGCTCCTTTCAGACATGCATTCCTTTCCATTAGTCTGATGGAATCTGAATGTGTCGGCTGAATGAGTATCCGGGTCACTTTTCTGTACAAGCTGCGACAGATTTCTTACTCAGTCAAACCTTATAACGTTAACAAGTATTATTTTTAATACATCACAAGACTGAACTGCATGCAGTCATATTTATACTTACACAAGAAACATGCTTCAACTTGTGTGAAGCAGTGTGGTGAAGGATTTTTTTTTCACATTTCAGCACCGATATTGGTACAAAAACATCACAAAGAGCAAAATCACAAAAAATCTTTCACTTCGCCCAACAACTTCAAATCTATTACAAATTGAAATGTCCATAAAAATATAACTTTTACTGTGATTAATACAGAACAGGCCAGAATAATGAGACTCCCCAATAATTAATGCAATCTGGATTATTACAAAACATTAACAGGAGCAGAAATTGAGTTTGTTGCTTCTGTTTGTCATAGACTTCACTCTGAGTTTATTAAATACCTGCAGCATCAGACAGCAGCAGCGTCCATATGAGCATCTCTAAAGTGAGCTGCACGCATTTACTCATGTTGAACAACAGCAGCAACTTCATTAATTACTTGTAGTTCTAAATAATCTCCAATATGGAGACCGGATCAATCAGGATCTTTGGTTATTAGTAGTTAGATTATTGACTAGTCTGTTAGTGAAATTATCATCACACATGGAACGGCTGTTTACTGTAATGTAATGTGTTTATTGGTCATTTGGACAGTTTGATAAATTTGATATTATTTTAGAGTTAGTTTTGTTTATCAGTGCTTTATTATGTGTTATGCACACTTGATGTACTGTCCAATGGCACAACTCAGTCATGGTGGTGGGTATTTCTGAATGAATCTCTGAGGAAGACTTTTGTAAAAGTGTCCTTGTCCTAATGACAGAATGCCATCACATTATCAGACTGATGAAATCAGCAGTGTTAAAGAGCCACTGTCTGCAGAGGGCTTTATTGATGCCAACCACTGTCTCATCCAGTGCAGTGTTCTGAAGTAATCTGAAACAGACTTAAAGTCAGGGGAAATGCCATTGAACTGTCATTCAGACTGCCTCAAATTACAGCTCTGAAAATACATTTTGAATTGGAAACATCTGCAAGCAGCACGAAAAATGTGGAAAAATTACCAGGAAATAAAGCTTTTTTTTCATAATGTTATGTGTTTAGCCTCAAGTAGACAAAGAAACGCTGACATTTAACAAAAAAAAGCAAATGCAACAATTAAAAATAAAGAATTAAAGTTTCCATGTTGGCTTATACTCATGTGGCAGATGCATTTGTCCAAAATGACTTACACAAGTGAATGAAAACGTAGCAGAAAAAGAGCTAGTTGTCGTATAAAGATGTCACATATGCATTTTTTTGCACATCTGTCTAAGTGCTGTTGTATTTCTAAAAAACCCTGGTTGTAAATTGAAGGAGTTAACACATGCATGGTCTTGGTGTGCTTGACTGGCTAATTCACCCAAGAAATTTGAACAACCTAAACATATTTTACAGTATATATTCTGTATTTGTAATTGCTGTTTTGTTAAAGTTGACAGATTAATTAACATTTTTAGACTTTATCATCGAAGCTAAGGAAAAATGTGACTTAGGGAATAATTTACTAATCTTGTCACTTAAATGTCTTCATTTGTTTGAGTGCATTTGGCTTCAACAGAATCCCGGTTATATTTGTTAAACAGGAAAAAAAATACATGTGGTGAAGTCATTCTAAGACGTAGCAGTCAGAATAGCAAACCCCATCATTTATCAGTCAGAAACTGTAACAACACAAAGAATAGTTGAATTTTCAACTTTCTTGTGGTCCTTGAGCTGCTTGTCTGTGACATTATCCATCCATCCATTATCTTTACACCGCTTAATCCTCACGAGGGTCGTGGGAGGCTGGAGCCTAACCCAGCTGACTCAGGGTGAAGGCATGGGACACCCTGGACCGGTCGCCAGTCCATCGCAGGGCCTCTGTGACATTATGTTCAATTATAAAAAATAAAAAAAAATCTAAGCTTAAAATGGTGATTATTCCATCAAAATTACTTTATTATACATGTCATATTTTTAAAAAATTGCCAGAAATAAAGCATTTGCTCGAGCCAGATTCTGTAAAATCTATTTTTTTAAATTCTGTGCTTGTCGGCGTAACTGAAAAGCCACTAGTGACTCTGCTGTATTCAGTTAAACTGCAGGCGTTATTTACACAGAGTAGAAAGGAGACAAATATACATTAAACAACACATTAACAATGTAAAGTATCTAAGTAATAATAAAGTATCTATAACATGTAGAGTATTAGGCCAGTATAGGCAACAGCTGTCAGCACTTGAACACATTTTCTCCATTTTTGTAAAAATGAATAATGAATTTAACTACACTTTTTATGACGATGGCATTATAAGACATTTTTGACTAAGCTATGTGTCTAGCCATGGTTGTGCTGTTTCCATTCAGGAGCAGGATTTTGTGTTGTTGTGAAAAGTGAGGCTGCAGTGACTAAAAATGTTGCAGGAGCAGAAAAAACCCAGAAACTTTTTGGGTTTTAGAGATTTAAATCGAAGAAACAAACAGTTGCACTGATTATTGTTTTTAATTGGAACAGCTTAGATAGACCCTCTTATAATATTGCTTTGCAGCGAGGCTTCTTTGTAAACTGCACCTTTGTTTTTTATTCCGCTCTTGTCCGGTGAGTGTATTTTAAAAACGGTGCAGCCTGGTTTGACGTAGGCACTACGTAACAGAGGGAGGGCGAAGGAAGGATTTCCTGTGTCGGCGGCGGCGGCGGAGGGATACCGCTCTGCCGCTGTGACGCGTCTCGTTGAGATTTTTCCCATTAGCGGCGGAGTGATCTGAGCTTCCCATACAATCCAGTGAGAAGTCAATGTGAATCTGCGGCGAGGGGGAAAACATGGCGACTTCACAGCATGAGGGGCACGCAAACCAGCTCGATCTGCTCATCAGAGCCGGTAACGTATATTTACTTGACCTCGAACCGGGGAAGTTACGTTACAACGCGCCGCTTTTGTTTCTAGCCTCGACCGCTGCGCCTCGGTGCGCGGAGCGGTGTGGTGGAGTAATGGAGGGCAATCAGGAAGTGATCACCTTGGTAGCAACCTGCATGGCGTTGCTACACGGTTAACCAAACGCCGGTTAAACGGGAGGAAAACTTTCCCAGTCTGCGCGGTTAGATAGCTGCCTGCATGAGGCTTGTTTTGCATGTCGGTGCTGTTTTTGTATCGCGGCGGTGTGGTGTTGAATAACGGTTTGCACATCGGCTCTGCACAACCAGGAAGTGTAGAGATGTTGTCTTTGCTACGTCTTTGCCACGCTGTCTGAGTCGGAAGGACATGTGGGTTTATTTTCCCTGGCTTAAATCTGGCACACTGACTCGCATTTATTGTTTATTGCTGTTGTAGCTTCGTTTTGTTTTAGTATTTAGCTGTGACTGCTTTTATTTTGCTCCGTTTGTGTGAATATTCTGCACTGATAGGCTTCACACAGGAGCAGTCCATGAATATTTCAAACTTTAATGTGGTGTTATTGTGATTTTTCAGTGCGAGCAGCTCAGTTTTTACACTCGTGTTGTGATATTTTTGCTCCTCTGTGTCCCTTATCGTGCTGATTGAAACGTGGGACGGCCTGGCTTCACTCGCTTTCTTCCCTGCATTTATTGTGAGCTTCAGGCTTCGGCCGCACCGACTTTCGAATACAGAATTTATGTAATTTCATATAACTGTTCTTTCAAATAAACCTCTTGGTGACAAAACAACGATAATTCAGTTTAAGCGCAAAGTATTTTTGTCCCGTTTCGATGGCGGAAGCATTGTTTATTTGAGGGGGCGTGGCGGCTGTTTGATCGACGTGTCCGTTGGTCCAATAGCCTCCGCGCTGGTGAAAGGCGTCAGCAGGCGTCCAATCAGATCGCACCGGGGGCGGGCTTTTAATATGAGTGTGAGCCAATAGAAGGTAAGGCGGGTGTTGAGTGACAAGAGGATTTGTGTGCTTCTTCGAAGAGAACTGGAGGGAAAGGATGAGGAGTGTAAACACGGAAGTCATCACGGGCTGCACTACTTTTTGTCGGACTTGCTGCTATTCTTGGCGCCGTTACTTAGTAGTATATGTTAATAAAAACATGTTTTCCTAATCTGATGTTATACACTTTCACCTAAATGCTTTTCACATTTTTTGTAAGCTTCTCGATATTTGTGTTTTTACTGATCAATAATCAGGGATAAATTGGTGTGATGCACATTTAGAAAGACTTGAAATGGCCACAGTCTTCATATGTATTTATGTAGGTCAAGCTCAGTTGCAGCTCTTTGACCTTTCGCCTTTTTACGGCACGCCTGGTGTCAAGGACAGCTCAGCAGGCTATAGGATCTCCGCTGTGATGGCTACCAACTTGCCCTGTTTGTTTGTGAGGTGGGACTGAATGAGTGGGACAGTCTAAAGATAGCCCATGTCTCTCCCCTACACAGTGCCCATTGCCTCAGCGAGATAGCCAAACATGGACAGGGCAGGGTGTAACGGGATCTCGTGTTTCCCACCAGTGATTGACAGTAACAGCAGGTGCCCCGGGTTCCTTCTCAGGATCCCACATGGGGCCACGTACAGTTTCTCTCACCGGAGGCTGGATTCCATTTTTGTTGTCTGTCTGTCTCAGCACAGATGAAGAGGTAGTGTTGCTCTTTCTTGCTGCCTGCCACTCATATTTCTTGTGCCAAGTAGGTTTTCACATACAGTAAAGTAGAAAATTAAAAGAAAGATATAAGATTTACAAAAAGCAAGTCAAAGCTGATGGTGTTTAAGTGATACGGCTGCACAGATTGTGCAGGAATGTGCAAATAATTTGCTTGGAAATGTGCAAAATCTCATAGTATGTAGTCCAAGTTTAGGAAAGTAGAGGCATTTTATTGGATTTTCCTTTATTCTTCAGTATCCTTAGATAATCTTAGTATCTTTCAACTTCAAACAAAAGCCAAAGCTGCAGTGTCATAGACTGACTTAATAAATAGTTCAAGTGTTTGACACAAATCATGCTGAGTTTGGATCACACTGAATGTTTTAATGCTGAAAATGTCATACAAGTGGCCCAAAAACAATCAGACTTTTCACTAGGGGGCAGCATGTAGGTGAATGTTCTCCATGCTGGTGTTTTATTTGGAAAATGATTTAGTCGGACATGCAAATACAGATATTATGCCTTTTTATAGAAGTAGATGTGGAGCAGCAAGGTTGAGTGAGGAAGTATCCTTAAGCAGGGTGCTTATTTACCCTGTTGGGTTTATAAAGTGCATTTTTCATGCAACACCACAACTTAATTTTTCTCAATTGAGTATTTGCTAATTGATTGTGTGTATGTGTGTGCTGCAGTGGAGGCTTCTGTTCACGGCACCAGTGTCCACTGTTCGGACAAAACCATCGAAGCTGCAGAGGCTCTTCTACGGATGGATTCGCCCTCCAGCCTCAGGGAGGACCGAAGCCCAGGTAACACACAAAAAACTAGTAATCCTCAATAGACATGCATCTAGGTCAGAACTGCTTCATCTGCATTCAGGGCTGCAACTAACAACTATTTTTTTTATTGTTGAATAATCTACTGATTGTTCAAATAAATAATTGGTTATTTGAATTAGAAGTTGCACAGGTGTTACAGAGTCAGCACATACCTCAAACAAAATCTAACGGTAAAGATTGTTAAGATGCTTATTGTGTAGTTTCGTGATGTAACACGTTTTTTTATGGTTTACATGAACTGCAGCGATACCACTGCAGTTACCCAATACCCAACTTTGTTATATTATGTTGACAAGTTGTTAAACCCGACAGCTGTGAATGAAACATGTGCATAACTTACTGAGGACGCCAGATGTGCTGGGCTACCATTGTTGACTCTGCGGAGCCACAAATGTTCGATGGAACTATCCCACTAAGTTTTAACTTCAGTTTTAAAAAGATCTCTATTTTTGTTTTGAGTGTTCTGTCAGTTTTTCTGTGCTGAGATCAGCAGTGAACTTAGTCTGTATGTCTTCAGACTGTAAGACGGTGGTCTGTGCTTTTATGTGACATCAGACAGCGACTCATTTCACTCCAGTAAACGGAAATGCTTTCATGTCAGAGCGTTCTGAGTCAGCGACAGTAAATTAGCTGGCAACTAATATAGTCGTCACCTACATCAGTTCATTTCACCCCCATCTGTATTACATCAGTGGCATTCTCTGTCATCTTTGCTGTAGGTTGTACACACAGAAAGTTACATAAGCCTTTACAAGTTATCTAAAACCAAAAATTTGCTTTCCTACTTTAAGCCAAACTATTATATTTTAACCAAAAATATGTTAGTCAAATTTCTCCTCAACCGAACTCCAACATTATCTTTTCCTTCTTTGATTTCTCCCTCTAGAAGCTTTTATCCCACCATGCGTAGCGACGCCTGACTTCCTTCATGCTGCCATGCGGCCAGACATGATTGCAGAGACAGAGGTGGAGATATCGACAGAGGACTGCTGCGAGGAGGAGGACGAGGAGATGGTCACCCTGCTGGAAGAGCCAGAGCCAGAACCCGACCACCAGGCTATCAGGAAGAGGCGAGGTAGACGAAAACACACTGTTTCTGTTATGTGAGAAAAGTGACTCTTAAGTACGTAAAGGCTGTGCACAAACCCACATATTGTTTTTAGAACTTTCATTTCATTTAGTTTTCGACCCACTATCATCAACTTCATGGGGGTTGGTTTCGCTATGGAAAAAGGAAAACCGTTCTGAATGTTTCAAAGCAAGTTTTAAATGGAAAACATCTGGAAGCTCTGTGTTCACCCCGCAAGCCAAACCACAAGCCTCAAAGCAAAACCTATAGTTACATAGTTTATTACCCTGAATGATTTTATCCAACAGCACCACCGTGTGGTCAGCTTGTACTGTTGGATGTCACGCTCAGGGATCAGAGGGTGTTAGGCACTAAAGCAGCATCTTTAATGTTTACTTTTGTAGCTGGACGGAAGCCAAAGACACAGCAGACGGCGATACCCAACGGTTCACCAGATCTTGGCATCAAGAGGAAACCAAGAGAAGGAAAAGGTACGTAACAGTCGCAATAATATTAGCTCCCACGCTTTCTTGTATGTGTATTGATTTGATAAAGACGGATCAGTTTTTAGTTGTGCACTAAATTAACGTCTGTTTCCAGCTGGGAACACCACCTACCTTTGGGAGTTCCTGCTGGACCTCCTCCAGGACAAGAACACCTGTCCCAGGTATATCAAGTGGACCCAGAGGGAGAAGGGCATCTTCAAACTGGTTGACTCAAAGGCTGTGTCCAAGCTGTGGGGAAAACACAAGAACAAGCCAGACATGAACTACGAGACCATGGGACGGGCACTAAGGTAAAAAGTCTGACTGAAGGAGATAAATCTGTCTTTTTTTTTTGGGTAGGAATGGTAATGGTTATTGGTTAATTGATTATTGCTGTGAATATTTTAGCAGATTAAAAACATCAGTCAAAGTATGTATTGTAGATTAGCTGTGTTACCTGGTAACGCCTCCAAAGTAGCATCATAATTCTTAATTTTTTTTCTCCCCCTCAGATATTATTATCAGCGCGGCATCCTCGCCAAGGTTGAGGGCCAGCGGCTGGTCTACCAGTTCAAAGAGATGCCCAAAAACATTGTTATCATCGACGACGATAAGGCAGAAATGCCCGCCCCCGAGGATCTGATTGGCTCCGACGCAGCAGCGTCCTACGAGCGTGTACCTCCGCCGTCAGATATGCTGCTTCAGGCCACCGAGCTGTCTTCCACTAAGAAGCCCAACATCTTGCGGGGCGCTAACAGAGCCAACGTAGTCCAGCCTCCAGCTGCAGCAGGCAGCAAGCCAGTGGCAGGAGGTGGAGCGTTGGTGACGGCAGGGGTACCGAGGATAGTGTCGGTTACAGGAGCATCAGATGGGAACCAGCCCCAGCAGTCTCACACAGCTATCATCCCGAACGCCTCAGCGCCCAGGTTAGACTCGTGCAAAGAGATGGACCTTCATTTGGACTTTGAAGGGCATCACTGCTAAAGCAAATGTTGACAATGTGTCCCAGCAGTAAGTACTGACCTCTGACTGTCTGTCTTGTCTTTCCTCTCGTTTACAGGACGGTGCGGGTGGCTATGCAGGTGCCTGTAGTCATGACGACATCGCTGGGTCAAAAGATATCCACAGTTGCTGTGCAGCAGCCAGCGGGAACAACAGGGGCGGCCGGACACACCACCCTCCTCACCAACACCTCTGCTATCGGAGCTGCTGCTGCTAACGCCAACTCACAACAGAAGGTGGGTACATGTGGAAACTAACCCACTGACAAGAACAGGGAGTTTGGGCTACTGCTTTAAGGAGCTTTTGCATTCATTTGAGACTCTATCCCAGTTTACGATAGCTTATATTAAACATTTTTTGCTATGTTGGGGTCAGTAAGTCTCAAGTCATTATCAGGGTGCTCCTTTGCTGAACTCTGACAATGCGCCGTGCTTATCAAAGCAGAAGTTATGGTCTCCTCTGGTTGCTTCAGTATTAAACAGTAAGAGGTAACCAGGTGCTACAGCCAATCTACACCTAAAGTATATACGATCTGGAAAAAAGGTATTGGCAGATACTAATAGATTACTCAGATTGGGAGCAAAAATACATAAAGAAATACTGAGCGGGACATCTCTATGTATTAACAATAGAAAAGTGCTGGAAAAATGTGATAATAATAGTAAATAATCAGATTTTATGTTTTGCTTGCATACTTTGGTCAGTTAAATTGTTATTTGGCATTCTGTGTGGTATTTAAAGGTGATGGTGAACCCGGTAGAACCCTTTACAAGCTTCAGATCAATCGAGGGAATTGTTCAAATGCAACATCCTTGAATTTTAGTCTGCCTTTAACTGTTAATAATTTAGTGTATTCTTGGTTAGGTTGTGATCCAGACTATCCCGACCATGGTCCCCGCCACAGCAGAGAATGGAGACAAGATCACCGTCCAGCTGGCCAAGATCATCACAATCCCAGCCCACCAGTTAGCTCAGTGTCAGCTGCAGACCCCCACAGGCGCAAACAAGCCCGGCGTCGGAGCCTCCCCAGCGGGCATCAGCCTCCTCGGGAGCCCCCTGACGGTCCGGGCCCTGGCGCCTGTCAACGTCGCCCCGGGAACGCAAGTGATGAGGCTTACCGTGCCGTCGCAGACGCAACAACAGACTCTGGTGGTGTCGCAGCCTGGAGGCGTCAGCAGCGGGTCAGGTGTGGTCACTGTATCATCAGCCAATCAGGCGCAGCCTCGCATCATCAGCGGCGTCATCAACGGCTCGGAGCTGTTGATCGGAGGAGCCGGAGGAGTCTCAGTGGAGAAACTGAAGGCAGCAGGAGTCCAGCTCCAGGCTGTGCAGTTGCCGATGACGATGGCCGTCCAGCAGAACCCCAAATCTGTCCAGAACATCAAATCAGAGGCCGTGGACACTGAGGTGGTTATCAAACTGGAAACGCCTGATGTGGCAATAAAGGCAGAAGAGCTGGAATGTTAAAAAACGGCCCTTCTTCTCTGCCAGAGACGGTTAGTTTGTACATTTCTGAAGTCATTTTTACTCTTGTGATAACCAGCAGTAGTCTGTGAGACTTTAAACACTCCTGAAGGCCTGTTTTTAGTCCTGAACCCGTCTTCACACCTTCCCTGTCGCTGCCTAGAACTTTTCTGGACACAGCCGGTCTCCCTCAGAACCACACAGAAACCTCCAGAGTGTCGTGTACGGAGCCCTACAACATAGGAATACACAGACTTCAAAGGGATTTGTTGGGAAAAGCAAAGGGACCAACCTTGATCACTACAATTTATGCCTTCGAAATGGATCGCTGTCACTGACTCCAATCTGGAAAAACCTTGGGGAAAAAAAAACAAACAAGTGAAACACTACAAAAAGAAAACATGGCAAATAATTACAAGCAACCAAAATGTGAACTATTGAATTTCAAAAAAGACACAATGGGGGCAGAGGTGGTTTATCGCAGCTTTTGTAGAGAGCAAATATTTGTGATTTATGCCTCCACACATGTTAAAACCAGCAACTTTTTTAAAAACTTGTATCACTGTGCAGATCAAGTGTGGATGGTGCTACGAGAACCCTTAAAGAGTGGAAGTGGAGCTGTGAAAAGCGCCCACAGGAACGATATCAGACAGAAAATGGTCATGTATGTACATATATATATATCTACTATACAGTTTACGGAGCTAACGTTAACAGAACAGCCTTAGATTTTAATTTTGACTTTCTTTTTCATGTATTGTCTGAACGGTAAGCTGAAATTTGTTTTTGTGTTTTGATACCTTGTACCAAGCACAGTATTATTGAAACTAGGGGGACTAATATTTGTATTATTATTGGTTTCTCCGCCTCTTATCAGGCTGTTATTGCTAATATAGGTTGAATCTTACAGGAAAAACAGCACCATGTTGTAGATCAGCGGCCAGATTGCTTGCGGTGTGTCTCTGGCGTCTCAGAAAACCATCTGACAAAAGGATCCTGGCTATTTCTTTCTTTTTGTTGACAGATGTTTGCTCTGTTCTTCCCAAACCTGCAGTCAGGCTGCATGCACATGCAAAGACATGTGAGCTAAAGCATGCTGCCATGTCTGGAAAAAAAAAGAAAAAAGAATGAGAACATAAATAGGAATGTGTCTAATCTCAGAGTTCAAGAATGAAGTGAACCAAACTTTTTTAATGATTTAAAAAAAAAGATGCGTTGAAAATCAGGAGTTTATGCAAAATGGCTGCGAACATTATTCAACCACTGTGGATTTCAGGTCACTTTACTTCATGCTTAAAACAGAGGGTCAAATTTGCCAGAACAGAGTTTCTGCCATGTTGGCCCTGCCCCTAAAATTCATTATTTTTTTTAATTTTATTTTTTTTTTAAATCTAAAAAGAGGGAAGAGAGGGAGACAGAGAGAGCGAGAGAGGTTTGTGTTCAGACTGAACTGTTTGTATATTCAACATTTGAAGTATATTCTATTTTGTTGTACTCTTGTTTCAAAGTGTATTAAAGTAGATTTTACTGAAATATAAAAAGACATTTGAAACCTGACGTCTGTCGTTCTTAATCATGACTTTTATGTACTTTTTAAATTTGGTCTGGATGTGAACGTGTGTGTGCTAATCATTATACATGACTTGACCTACTTTTCTTTTCGACTAGTTTTTCTGTTTTCTTTGGTTAAACAGTAGCTTCAGATAGCACCCAAGCGGAGCTCACATATAAAACCAAATCTGACAAGCAGTAGTCTCCTTTTTAGGTAGCGATAACATTCAGTGATTTATCAGAATCACGTTGGGTACAGACTGTCTTCAGTTACTTTGCACGTTTTGCTGTACAGTTTGAGATTACCTACGTTTACCAAATCGTGGTGAAATTCAGTTGACCTGTAGCCGACAAGATGCTCACGAAAAACAAGCCTAACCTGGTGCAAATTCTTAGAAAGACAAAAAGGTCATAAATCATCTGTCACCTCCCCTGAGCTGTTTTATGGGACTCCAGCGACTTACACCAAAACACCACTTTTCACTACGTTCAAGGCGTGACAATTTGTGGCCCTTTTATCTTTCGATGCAGGTTTTTAGTTTGGAGATCCATGAAAAACCAAAAATGTA